AAATCAAAACTTTATTAAAGTGGTTTCATATCCAATTATGGCAAATAAAAATTGATAACGTGAGGATATATAAAATTCATATCGTATCAGACATAATGGAGCGGTAAGCCTAGTAATGATTATTCTCCTGCCTATTCTTAAACATGTCGCAGTTTCGTCACGAGATCTAAGATAGCTGAATGCTATAACAGTTTCGAGAAGAATGACGCGAATGACAAGGATACACTTTGTGGTGTTATACGAACAGAGAAAGGGATGTCCCACTGGAATGAAAACAATGCTCCTTTTCTTTGCACCCAGTTTCCAGCTTCTCCCGTTACGAAAGAAAAGAGGTTCTAATACAATATTTGCTACGGATATTCAAGGCTTAAAGTTACACCACCTATGTTAGAAAAAAAATCTAAAATAACTAGCAAACTTCTAACATATTTGCGTTTAGTTAGAGAGTACAACAAAAAACAGCAAAGACATTGCAGAAATTCGAAAAAAAAAAAGAGAAGAACATCAATCTGTTATTCACACACATACTATTTTCTTTTTTTTTTTTTTTAAGCAATGCTTTTCGCAATAGATGTATATTGGAAATGGCATCTAATAACTTCTTTTATGAATATATAAAAAATAAACAATCGATCAAATTTTTTAAAAAGACAAGACGCATTTTATCCGCAGGGAGACTTTTATCCGAATTCACGGCGAATTCACCGCAAATAAATTCGATAACGTGTTTTCATTGCTGATAAAAACCGTTCTCTCGCCAAGTATATTTAATTTCGAAGATAAAACTATGGTATTTCCGTGTCAGAGGGATCACGTACGGCAAATCGTACGATGAAGTATTTTCAGCTGATATTCGTGGTTGAAATTTCAACGTATTAATCGCAATAAAAAAGTCAGTACCAGTAGAAAACGCAGAAGAATTACGATAATTTTTTTAAAAATTTCGTTTGCCGATCTAACAGAATTTGCATAAATTTTCATAATTTTTCATTATAAATATTTTCTTATGCGCTCGGCCACAATCGTATAAAAAAATTTAAGGATATTTACACTTTTTGAAACAAAAAACTTTTAAAATTAAATAAGTTCTAAAAATCTTCAAGAATATACAACATATTTGAAAATTTACTATTTAAAATATTAACAAGAAGGTCCTTGAAAAATTAAAGAGTAAAAAAATTATATTTGTAATTTTAAACAGTAATTTTTGAAAGATATAAATGTTCAATTGCCAATTACAAATTACGTTTAGACGGCCATCTGAGTTGTACGTACGATAGTAGTATTAGTGAGTGTGCTGAAGTACAAATATGTTAGAAATTTGGTAGCTGTTTCACATTTTCTTTTCTAACATGAGCATTGAAATACGCGCTTACTAATATTCACGGGTGACTGTTTAAACATAGCCTGTAATTAGCCATATTTAAATCTTCAAAAACTTACTGCTTAAAATAAAAAGTTACAAACTTTGTTTTGTAAATTTACAAAATTTACAAACTATTTTGCTTGACATAGTATGTTTTAACACCGTAATGTGAATATAAATAGGAAATAAAAATAATTTTTAGTATTTAAATACCTAATAGTTTCAATAATGTATTTATGCAAACAAAGGATATGATTTTTTTTACAAATTAGCTGCAAAGGTCTCATTTGATTAAAAAAAGAACGGTTATAGTATATCCTGATGAAAGTGCAAAGAAAAAAGTGCCGAATGTCACTTAATTATAATATATTAAAGAGAGATGATATCATCAATGTCCATTATCAATCAACGTTGCACACGTTGTGTAATACTAAATTTAATCTTTAAATTACAGTGAATGTGTATCACACACAGCAGAACTTTTGGCCTTAGGATGGTAAAATTGATATGTTAAATTTAATTAAAAGAATCAGGAAAGAGCATGGGCAATAAGAGGCAAATTGTTAACCAAAAAAAACAGAACTCAAATCAGCTGACTCAGATCATCACCAGGTGGTAATTCCGGGAACTTTTTGATCAAGGTGGTAGTTCAGTGTAATTTATATACTACATAGGTATAATCTCTAATCCTGCAATCTGTAAATGTATGCCGAATTTAATTTTCAATCTTGAAACGTAATCTATAGAACTAAAAATATTATAAAT